TCACAAAACCCATTGCTACTGTTGGTGCTCATTGAACCCTTTAATCTCCCATGTTAGCAGTCTCACTTGAGAAGCCCAGGGCCAAATGGGCCATTGAGACCGAGTCCCTTCTTGCCCCTGGGAGGAGGCTCTTCTGGGGAAGACTGGGTCATAGTACCTTGGGGCCAAGAGTCCCAGGGCCGTGTCCCCATGAGCTGGAGCATGTGGTTGCTGTGGGAAAAAAGCAGCAGCACAAACTCATGCCACTGGTTTTTGCCCCAGTGCATGCCTCTGCACATGGGGTTAGCATGTGAAAAACTACTCTCAGCGGGGGACCAGGCGAGGCTGGGGCCAGCACCTGGGCTGGCCCCAGGAGCCTTACCTGGGACCCTGGGGGCCTCCTGGGGCTCCAGCAGTGGGGCTCCAAGTGCACAGAGCCTGGGCAGCAGCCAGAGTGTGGCCACTTGGCTCCGGTTTTGGATGGCACGTGGTGCCACCATGTGTCCTACCCTGGGTTTTTTTGGCACAGGTTTTTTGACACTGGGATCTATTGGTGTAAAAAAACCCTGTCACCCTGCAAATTAGCAGTGCAGTGAATACCTACATGTATGGCATGCCATGCTACAGATGGGTCTGCAGCACCACAAACCACACGTGCGCTTGTCTGGATGTGGCCCCTATGTTGTACTTGTTCTGAGGCCAGCAAACAGCTTCTCCAGAGCTCCAAACCCTACTCTACCATTCATGTAAAAATGTTACAAACTCAATTAGTTAATTCAGATCTAAGATGGAATAGATGTTAACCACATGGCAGGAGCCAAGGCAGCAGGTGGGCTACATTGCCCCTAGCTGGCACCGGTTACCTGAGTGGACCTGGATGCCAGTGGCCTAACCACCCCCAGCTGGCCCCAGTTGCCTGCATGGGTGTGCCTACTTGCTTGTAAGCAGCAGCTCTTTCAGTGGCCAGCAGTTTATTCACTAGGACAGATGTCTCTGAAGTTCTCTTAATTTCCTGTTGGCTGATCCCTATTTTCCTGGTTCCTGGTACTTGCCTGCCTGCTTGCTCCTAGTTTTCTGGGTCTGCTTGTTACCTTTCTGGCTTCATAGAATCATAGAAATTAAGGGCTGGAAGGGACCTCAAAAGGTCATTGAGACCAACCCCCCTGCTCTGGGCAAGAATACTGTTGAGATCAAATGACCCCAGCAGGTGTCTGTTCAATCTCCTCTTGAAGATTTCCAAGGTTGGGGACTGCACCACCCAAGGGAAGACTGTTCCATATCCACCCGTATTATAAAGAAGTTCTTCCTTACCTCCAAGCTGAAGCCATCCTCTAACAGTTTATGGCCATTGTTCCTTGTCCTCCCCTAATGAACAGTTTTCCCCCAGCTCCCAATGTTCATCCCTTACATGCTTATAGACAGCCACCAAGTCCCCCCTCAGTCTTCTCTCCCCCAGGCTGAACAGTCCCAGACCCCTTAGTTTCTTCATAAGGTTTGTCCTCCAGGTCCTTGATCGTACCTGTGCCCTTCTCTGCACCCTTTCAAGATTCTCCTCATCTTTTTTGAAGTGTGGTGCCCAGAACTGGACACAGTCCTCCAGCTGGGGTCTCTCCAAAGTCAAGTAGAAAGGAAGTATCACATCCGTAGCCCTGCTTGGCTAATGCATCCCAATATGGTATTAGCTCTGTTGACTCCAGCGTCGCACTGGCAGCTCATGTTCATCCTGTGATGATCAATCATAACCCCGAGGTTCCTTTCAGCCATCATGCTGGCTGAGACATCTCCTCCTATCCTATATTCATCTTGCTGGTTGCCTCTCCCCAGATGAAGCACTTTGCATTTATCCTAATTGAACTGCATCCAGTTCCACTCTGCCCGCCTTCCGAGCTTGTCAAGGTCTGCTTGGATCTACACCTCCTATCCCCTAGCATGATTGCTTTTCCCCATAACTTAGTATCGTCTGCAAACTAGGCCAGCGTGCTTTCCATGCCCTCATCTAAATTGTTGATAAAGATGCTGAACAGCACTGGGCCCAGAACTGAACCCTGCAGGACACCACTGGCCACCTCCACCCAAGTTGATATAGACCCGTTCACTAACACTCTCTGGGTTCGACCCTTTAGCCAGTTCCCAACCCATCTGACCCCTTAGCCAGTTCCCAACCCACCTGGCCATGGACTCTGCCAGCCCACAATCCCCCACTTTTTTTATAAAAGCATCAGGGGAGACCCTATTGAAAACCTTTCTAAAATCCAAGTATATGACATTTAATTTTTGTTCCTGGTCTCTGCCATTGGTTCCAAGTTCCTGTCTGCTGACTCCCTGTTTCAGGTTCTAGCCTAGACCCCTTTGCTCCTGATTCTCTGAATCTAGCTAGGACCCCTGCTTCTTGACCTTGTCTGTTCCTTGTCTTAACTATGGTCTGTGCCCTGCTAGAGTCAAGCCCTGATTGTCTGTGTACTGGTTGTACCCTGACACCAGAATGAAGCATGACATTTCAAAGTTGCTTGTAGGCTCTGGCTAATTAAATCTCACTGGCTCCACTGAGCTGAAGGATGCACTGGGTTCATTCACCCCTCTCTGAAATGCAACCGTCTCACAAAAGGAACACATCCCTTGCTCCAGGGTGCAGAGCTGCAGTACACACTAGGTGAAGCCAGGGCATGAGTGTGAATCCTGTGGCTAGGTGCATCTGCTGTGGCATGTAGAAGGGCAACATGGAATGGCCTAACCTGGACCTCAGTTGAGGCATAAAGGTTAACATCCCTGCTCTTACCAAAGTTCCCAAGGGATCTTTACCAGTTACAAGTGCTTTAGACCCTGGGTATTGAGTTTCATCTACTGCAGCAGTGACCCTGACTCCAAGTTGGTGAGACTGGTCGAAAGGAGGGTGCCCCCCAAACCAAGTCACCAAGCTCCGATACTTCTAGCCCCAAGGCCTGGGCTTCTTCCCACCTTGAGAGCTGAAGAACTATCTACAAGCCCCTGTTAAGCCACCTCAGCAGTGCTGCAAGTCCTGAAAACAATGCAGGGGGCTTAAGTTGTTTTGCAGGCCAGGTGCTGTGATGCCTTCCCTGCCAGCTACCTCCTCCCCGATGCAGTCCCTGCTCTGATTTGCATAATCTTTAAACATGCTGTACATCTTCACTCAGCCCTTGCAGGAGATTCTCCTGCCTGACAGGATGCAGACAGGCAGCGACTTAGTCTCTTTATCTTTGTCAAAGTGTGTCAGCTCTGAGGGGCTGTTGCATGCCATGAAATGGGAACAGAGCAGGCTCAGAGCCTGGGTGGCCTCCTGAAAGGCTCTTGACATCTGCATTTCAGGTGCTGGGAAGCTGCTTTTTTTGTGGCCCTGCTGCAGCCTGACACATTATCTGCTCCCCACTCACCAACATATAAGGGTGATATGGAGAGGCCTTATATAGGATAGCCAGGTCCAGAGGTACCAAGTATGTGGGGGGTCTGAGGACCCTGGCCCCCTGTGGGAAGAGGTCACCTAAAATGCATAAAACGCACCTGAAATACATAAAACTTTCCACATGTCTAGCATCTTAGCCCCCCGCCAGCAAAAATAAAAGACAGTGCCTATAGCCAGGCCTGCATTGTACAACTCCCTCCTGCCTTGTACTCAGAAGGCTGCAGGGACAAGAGGAAAAGGGACTGGGCCCAGGGAGATGAATCAGCATTCCTCAGAGGTTACTCTGGCAATGCTCTGTGGCTTCTCTCTGACCTGAGAGAGAGACTCCCCTCCACTTTTGCAGTGTTCCCCAGAGCCTTGCCCGGGCTGTCAGCAATACCAGTCACTATTATTCCTACATGCCACAGCATAGCAAACCCCACACTGACTACTGTTCCTCAACCTTCCCAGTTTAGCAACCCCTCTGTTCTCTTTTACAACTCCCACCCTTTCCCCTTAACTATAAGATTAAAAAAAAATCAATCCATGCTAGCCATGCACCATTAGTTGGTGTGCACGTGTTAGGGGTTGATAGGGACTACTTGACCTTGAAGGATAAGGCTACACAGGCAGTGAGGGACTGAGATTTCCTAAGCACGAGCTTGTAATACAATTTTCAACAACCCACAACCCCCCGACTGCCTTCCAGGACCCCTTCCCCCAGGGGTTGCAATGCACGGATTGAGAAACTGATACATCTGAACGAAATGCTCATGCCCACCTACGGCTATTGCTTTCCTATGCAGCTCTTCACCCCACTCAAAGAATAGCTCTACAACTTGCTTCTTCCCCTGGCTTTGAAAGCGCTCCACTTCACCAACTTGCTGCAAGGCCTAATTTTATTGACACAGACTTTTGCCCAATATAAATGATAGATTAGTTTCGACAGGCAGCATTTTACCAGGTGGCTTGTCCTGTTTGACCAGAGCAATGTTAAGCAGATTAAAAATGGGTAATACCTCTCTACATTAATGAGTATCTGCACAGAGCCCTGACTGCATGAAACAACTTTGTGGTTGTATGGATATGTATGTAACCCAGGTGTACCTGATTGTGTACCCCCCTTCTGCACTGAAGGGAGATGTTGGCAGGGCAGGTGTTTTGTAGTGGGAAAACTGCTGGCTACATGCAGCTTCCCCTCCCCTATAGACAGTCTGATCCATACTTTACATCTTAACTATATACAAATGTATTACTATATATAAGATTTACAGAAAATAATGTTAATAAACATATATACAATATATAAACACTTATACAATACTATATTCTATTAATAGCAACTAGAGCAGGGGTCAGCAACCTCCGGCACGTGTGCTGAGCATGGCACTCAAGGCTATCTTGCTCAGCACACCACTGCCAGCCCAGGCTGTAAGCAGCTGCTGCCAGCCACTGAGCCCAGGCTGGGAGACTGCAAGCCCGGCTGCAAGCAGACTGGGCTCCGTGGGCCGGCTGCAGCTGGGAGGCTGCAAACAGCTGCTCCGGGCTCCAGCATGTTGGCACTCCAACACCTTCCAAAGTAGACATTGTGGTTTCTTCGGCACTCTGGCCAAAAAACGTTGCCTACCCCTGAACTAGAGGATTATCCCATCTCAAGGGCTTCACACTCTACACAGGAAGTTAACTACCCTAGAACAAATAACAAATGGGTAAGTAAAGGGGAACCATAAATAAGTATCAACAAGGGTGTCACCAGAATATACATATATAACAAACCATTTAAACTATCAAGAATATAGGTAATATTTACATAGGCCTATATCCCCCCCCCCAAGGACACAGTTAACTATCCCACTAAGAATTAAATTTAATTTTCAATACTTGTCTTACAGCTTTACATTCTATCAGATCCAAATCTACTTAAACATTAAATAAAAACATACAAAATATACACACTCTATCATTACTTAGCCTCATTATATCAGATGAATGATTTGAATATACCTCTTCAGTTTAGACTTTATCAACTTGTACTCATAAAACATAAAATATAAACTATATAATACAAGACACCCATTCACAAAATATAAGGTGCAACCCCCTTTGAGTATAGCTAACGTTTATAAAACCCCAAGGCCCACACCATTCTGGAGCCTTGGCTGAGTTCCCATGGCCCTCGGGGGTAGGGGGAAGAAACTCCCCCTGTGCCCTTTAGGCTTTCCCCAGCCAAGCCAAAATGCCCCCCAAAACGATAACACATTTAGGGAGCTCTACCCTTCTAGGGCCCCCCTTGAAGAGTCAGCTCCACTGACCTGGGTGGACTCCCCAGGAGAATCCTTTTCCCCGGAAACTCACACTCCAGGTAGCCGGCTAGAGGGTCCTTGCCTCTCCCACAGTGAGTGACCGTTTCTTCTGCTGGGGCGCTAGCAGTCTCTTTCTCCTTCTGGGCCCACCAGCCCTGGTGGCCCTGTGCATCACGGTGTGCACTGGTGGCTTAACTCCTTTTCCTGGGGTTGGAGCCCCGAGCCACTTTGCTGGATTCTGGGGTCTCAGTCCATGCCAGGGCTCTCCGTGCAAGGCTTAGGATTCAGATGCCTGGCCTCGTGCCAGAGGGTTGCAGGTCCCAGCCTCCCCATGCAGCTTCCGGGGCCTGGGTCTGCTGCTGGACCCATCACCTGCACCGAGCTTTCCTGGCCTCATGCCAAGATTTGAAGGCCCATGCTGCCTCTTACAGCTCCAGGGCCTTGGTCCTGCTTTGACCATGCCATGCACCGACCCACGCACCGCGCCTCTGGCCTCATGCCAGAGGTGTAGACCTGAGCTGCCTCATATATCCTCCAAGGTCTCACCCCGTGCACTTAGCCATGCACCACTGTCATACTTCTCAGCAGAGCTGTTGTGGGCTGCACCGTTCGCTGCTTCCCATCTGGCGATGAGAAGGGGTCTTCGGGCTCTTCTGGGACCACAGCATTCACCCTGCTGGGTAGCTCTCCCCAGCTCTTCTTTAGCTTATCTTCCCTCTTCTCCATCCCTCGTAGCTGTGTCCATGTGTCAGGCCCGCTGTTCTTTTATAGCCTCCAGGGGCTCTGCCCCTGGATTGCAAAAAGGACCAATCAGGGAGAGGGGCAGTAGGGTCCTCACCCAGGTCCAGGATCTTCGCCTCGCCCCAGGCAGGGGCAGGGCAGTCTCTCCTCCATCGCCTTCTGATTGGTAGGAAAGTCCTACCCTTTCAAGCTGGCAAGCTGGGCTGCTACCGGCATGCCCACCACATGTATGCATGTGAGTAACACCAGAGCAGGAAGTTACTTATGTGATGAGCATATAGGGTTTTAATGAAAATATGCTTTTCAACATTGCCAGTGTATTTGCCTTACACTAGTACAGAGTTCCCAATTTTCAGGTTTCTACCATGAGATGGCTGATAAGGGTTGATTCTCTTAAAGCCCCAGTCCTGGGGCCATGTGATGATACAAGAATCCATTTCATTCCTTCCCAAAAAGAAAGTTTCTCTCCCTTCTGGTTGAGGAGAGCTCGAAAATGTCACCCTCCAAAGGCTCAACGATACCGTCAGACAATAAAGACAGCCTCACGTGACAAATCCTATGATTTTAGGTCCATCTTGTGCTGCTGAATGCTTGGAGTTGGCAGTGCCGCTACTGGAGCCTGAAAGCAATGTTCAGGCGGGGGAACCAGCTAGCATCAGATCTTTCTACAAGTAAGAGAAAAAGAAAGGAAATGAAAGAAAGGGCACAAAGGCAGATATGCAGAGCTAATGAAATCCAGCAGCGGTTTGGATTTTGCAGAATCAAGCTGACTGGGGTTTACCTCTGGAAAGTCAAGGGAGAGGGGTAATGGGGTGGGAGAGAGGAAAGACACAGCCTCCCGAGTGCATCACATTATTTATATGCCTGCTTTCCATTTTGGATAAATGACCATTTGTCTGAAATGGACAATGGGGTGAGTTTGAGAGGGACCAGGTCCACAGCTGGCAGAAATCATTAGGTCAGCTAGAGCAGTGGTATTCATCCTTTTTCCCCAGCAGGCTGGATGGGCAGTGCCTGGTCCGACTCCAGGGCAGATGGTAGTTCCCATCCAGCACATGGGGCCAGCATAACAGGCACCATCTGGCTGCATAGAAGGGTTTGAGGCAGCCTGAGCCCAGATCCGTAGGTGGGGATGGGGGTTTCACCCAGCCCTGTGGGGGAGAGGGATGTGACCCAGCCAGAAGGGTGAAGGGGGCAAGGTTCAGCTGCATGGCAGGGAGGGAGTATAGCTTAACTCCAACCCAGCCCCACAGGCTGGAAGGGCGCATGGCCTGGCTCAAACCAGGTGCACCAGGTTTGGGATTTGGGAATTTGGCAGGGGAGAAGATGGCTGTTTTAATGGCCACTGCTTCCCCACTGCCAAATTTCCTGAGCCATGGGAAGCTCCAAGATGTGATGGGTTCACAGGCTGTATTTGGCCTGTGGGCCAGAGGTTGAGCATCCCTGAGCTAGATGGATTTATGCCAGCTCATGGTTTGTTCTTAGAACTGAGTGTCCCTTTCTGGTTTGCAATCCATGGTATTATCAGCCACACAGGAAAAACTGAGGTACCAAGTCCTGCACCAAGTTGTTCCTAGGGAGTCTCATTTAGTGGAGTGGCTTGGATGTAATAGAAGTCAGGATGATGCCCCTTCATTAATATTTTCATGCCTAATACCTCTCTTGCCCCAACTGGGAGGCATCCAGAGCCTCTCAATAACGGCCTCTCTTGCCCTGGGCTCATTTCCTTTTAAATTCAGACTCCAGTTGTGCTGGCCCCTAGACTTCCCTTCTGAGCAAAGCACTATACAGGAGCAGTTCTCCTCATATGCCTGTCTGGGAGCAGATATGTCTTGGCTGTCATCCCAAACAGCAGCAGAGAAATCTCCAGGGCATTACAGCAGAAAACTGTTAAACGCATAATCCTGGTACAGAGAAAATTGTTTTCTTAAACAGGTTTATTCCTTGAAGGGAGGTATTTGCTTAAGAGATTTTCCACTATAAATTAAATCTGTCCTGGGATCCAGATAAACTGCCTTTGTGAAACAGAGCTTGTCCCCTAAGAGGCTGCCTGCTGTTATCTCCTTGCTGCTTAAAGGGGCACCAGTTCTTTGCTTGGGGATACATGGCCTTTCAAACCAAGCACCCTCTTTTTACTTTTCTTTTCCTTCCTTCAAGGAACTGAATACAGAGTCCTGCCATGGCTCTGCCTGCATGTGGGTACTCTATCGGACTGCCTGGAGGCTGGCCGGCTTCTGCAGCTCTCCTGTTCTCCCAACTCCCAAGGCAGAGCCAAGAAGGGCTATAAATAGTTCACATTTTATCCCAGCTCTGTGGGGCACAATGACTGAGTAGTGGCTGTCCTTTTCCCCATAGTCACCAGGCAGTGATCATGTTCCCCACAGAATTGCCAGGCAGGGCCCATTATTCCAAATGGAGCTACTGCATATAGCTCATTGCTCCCACTGCAACCATGTGCAGCACCCTTTGCGGTCATTGTAGTGGCCTGTTGCAGTGCCCATGCAGTGTCCATTCTTTCCCCTGGGCCCACTGTGCAGTGCCATTTTTCCTGCTAGAGTCACTACATTGCCCACTGGAATCACAGTGCCATGCCCACAACTCCCGGCCCCGCCAGACCTCCCGATTCTAATGCCAGGAGCCTGCTGCATCAGGGCAACAATGCAGGAATTGCCAGGCCAGCCCACAGCAGTGGCCCACAGAGGTGTAGCTGGATGTTTGAATGCCCTGCGTGGCACCCAGCCACACGGCTGCTGCAGTTTTTGTGACCTCTCCAAGGGTCAGCACCTGGAACTGATCTCCCCAGTTACCTGCCCCACAACCCTTTATTATGCTATGGATAGACACATGTAGGTCTCTAATAGTATCCAGTCCCAGCTATTTCTGAGGAAGGTGCAAGAAGCTCCTGGTTTTCAGCTGTGGGATTACATGCCCTTAGAAGAGGTATCATTCTGATCCAAGCAGCTGCCACCAGCTTAAACCCCTGGTGCTCCACCCAGAGCCAGCCTGAGGGAAAATGGCAGGTTGGGTGAACTTGCATTTTGATGTGTCCCTCCCCCCCCCGATGCCGCTCCCCTGGCAGCCTTAAGCGCCCACTTCCCCCAAGTCAGCACCACTGCTGCAGGCAGAGGCAGGCGGGCAGGAGTGCAGGGTGCAGTCCAGCAGGGAGACAGAACTGCCCACATTGCCCAGCTCCTACTGGGCAGTGGCTGGGGGGGCAGGGGAGAGCACTGCTGTGTGCATGGATGTGTGCGTGCGTGCGTGTGTGTGTGTGTGCGCACATGCATGCAGCACCCCCCCCAACCAAGGCATCCTGGGAGGTTACCCATGTCGCCCATCCCTAAGGCCATCCCTTGCTTTACCCATCTGGACCTGCAGGCCAGATAACTAACGCAGGGCTCAGACCAGCACATGTGGTCAGCCCACAGTTGGATCTGGCATGTGGTACCTATCTGTGGCTAAATCAGGTGACAGGCTGACCCAAGGCATCCGATCCAGCCAGACTGACCCCATGCACAGGCTTGATTCAGTGCATGAGGCCATATCATCTGGTGCACAATACTCCCCAGAGGACTTTTAGGGGTTTTCCTTTGCCCTCCATGAGCAGCAGCACTAGCAGCTGGTCACCATCACAATACTGGCCTTGGATCTAGCCCAGAGGTACTCACATAATGGCCCCTACAGGAGCTCCCCTGTTCCAGCACCAGTGTTTGGGGACAGGGTCAGAGCTTGCCCTTCCCATCACAGAGTCCATCATGGGAAAGGCACTCACTTTCTTCTGCTCAGGCAACACCAACCAGGACCCACCTCTCTTGCACTCCCACTCCCAGAGACAGCACCTAGGTGTGTGCAGGTGCCTGTTGCTGGAAACAATTCAGCACCAGCTCTGACAGTATTTGGACACTTCGTCAGAGTCTGCTGCATCTGTGCTTCATTCCTATGAGAAGATCCCTAGGAAAGGGCAGAATCGGATAACGCTGGGAACTGTGCCAGAGGGAGAGGAGTTCCTTGTGCATAAAGCATGTTGCCTGTTGCCAGGATTTCTGCTGCAAGTAATTCACTGAAAAAACAATACAAAGGAGATGACAGCAACAATTAGTATTTCTGCAGTAACCCCCATAACAGTCTTCCAATACAGGGAAGGGATTAGTATAATTTCCATTAGACATATAAAGAAACTGAGGCAAAAAAAGATTTGACAACATCCCACAGGTAAGTTCAGTAGCAGAGAGAAAGCTAAAACCACCTGCTTGTCCCTTCTTCTACTCACTGGACCTTGCTGCCTCCCCATGAAGCTGTGAGAGGTCCAAAATGTCCTTTGAAGCATGAACAGCTGAAAAACCAGATGAGGTGCCTCTCAAGTTCAGATGGCATTGCAAAAGCAACGTAGGTTCCTAAAGCAGGAAATGATTCAGTGGCCAGATGGGGATAAGGCAAAACACTGCCTCTTCAGAGATGTTGTCATATCTCTCCCTTTACAAGTCAAACAGAAAGTCTCTAGCCATTATAGCTGCAAAGAAAACCTTAAAAAATGAAGCCGGGTATGTTCCAAGCATTAGTGTTTGCATGAGCTTGAAGAGTCTGAAGCAATCACTCTGCACAGACACTGTGCTTTGCTCATCTCAGTGAGGGGTTAGTTCAGGTGCCAATGAACATTTAAATGTCCATATTCCCAATCACTTCTCTGCTGATCACAGTGGGGAAGATGGGAGAGGAACAATCTGGCTATAAAGAAAGCTCATTTCAGCACCATGACTGAGTAGTACTAGGGAGAAGCATCATTGTTCAGCTCCTGTCAGTCAAGTCAGAGTCCCGCACTATAGCTAAGCCCCCACCATAAAATGAGCCAAATGCCAAGAGCCTGAAAGTGATACAAATCCTGTTGTGAACATCTGTGCAATCTCTGGGCGTGTCTACATGAGACGTTTACTGTGCAGTAGGCTAATTAGCTGTGGAGTAAACATCTCAGCATCTACATGTGCATCCCTATTAGGCTGGAGTTAACTAATTAAGTCTGCAGCAGGGTAGTAAAAAACTCCACAGACGTCCATGTGTAGATCCTGACCTGGCTGCCTGCTGGCTAGCCTTGCACTGAGGCACCCTTGTGCCCTAGGCAGCTCCTCTGCAGCACGTTGAACCAGGGGGAACCCCCCAGGCCTGCTGCTGGCTGGGGCTGCTGCCGTCTGGCTCAATGTGCTGTGCTCCCAGGTGCCTGTTCAAATGGCATGCCCAGGAGCAAAAACTCCAGAGCAATAACCCCCAGTATTTATTGCTTCACAGTAACTGTATGTGTTGACATGCCCTCTGTGAAAGCTCCCTTCAGTAGTGGAAGTGGGCCGGGTGTGCTTGGTGGGGGATGCTTGAAGTGAACCACTCCCTTGCTCCCTCATTGGACACCAATCTCCCTAAGGTTTCACTCCAAGTAGAAAAGCATGTGCCATGACCGGAGCAGAGCCAGGAGGAGGAAACTGCCTCTCTGTGCTCACCTGTATCAGCCCCCAGCTTCCACACAGCACCAAAACAAACCTAATAAAAAAGCAGTTGCATGTGCTGACTCCGATGAGAGTAGAGGTCAGGAACCAGATGGGAACTCTGCTAAGCTGCCCCGAACAAATCTCAGCTGCTTTGCTTTGGGGCATAAATATTGCAGAACATGGCCTGAGCCTGCAGCAGGCTGTTGAAGTGGATATGGCACATCCATGTAGAATCGTGGGCTCATAGAAAACGAGGGTTGGAAGGGACCTCAGGAGGTCATCTAGTCCAACCCCCTGCTCAAAGAAGGACCGTCCCCAACTAGATCATCCCAGCCAAGGCTTTGTCTAGCCAGGTCTTAAAAACTTCCAAGGATGGAGATTCAACAGCCTCTCTGGGTAGCCTGTTCCAGTGCTTTACTACCCTCGAAGTGAGAAAGATTTTCCTAATATCTAACCTAAACCTCCCTTGCTGCAACTTGAGCCCATTGCTCCTTGTTCATGTTCATATGATCCCATGGCCTGCTGCCCCCACGCTCTAGTGACTCCCTTAGCACTAGCTCAGCACCATGCAGAAACAGGCTGGGTGAGGAGAGAACCCACCAGTCCATCTGCACTGGCACTGCATCACTCCTGCCACCTTCACCAGCTTCCCAGCTGCCTCCCCACCCCATGCTGCCTCTGTGTCCAGTTCAGGCTTGGCTACATGCCCTTGCTGCCCCTTCTCCTTTGCCGTCACCTCCATCTGTTGCTGCTGTCCCCCTTTTGGCCTTTCCTATCTCCTCTCCCAGCATAGCACCATTACGGAAGAAGAGTAGCCCCCACATGTGTGTAAGCCCATCTAGCTGGAATCCTCTCCCCTGAGGCTCTCTTTCTCTCCAGGTCTCCCCTCAAAGACCTTCCTTTGCTCTGTGGTTTATGACTGCTTTACCTGAAGTTTTTGCCCATAAAACAGGCGAAGGATGTTCTGAGAGAATAAACTGCATTTTGCTCTCTGTGATGGTGCTGGAGGATTTTTAGCAAGTGCAAACATTCAGGGATTTGGGCTTTCCACCTCCACAAAAGAACAGTCTATTTAACGGCTCAGCTCCCAATATTCATTCAGGGAGGAGTACCAAATTCTTCTCATAAGCCTCTCATTCAAACTGTAACTCAAGCCTGACTGTTTAGTTTGCAGGTGCTAAAAAAACATGGTGGACTAGCTACTGACAGAGGAGTTTCTGTACCTGCAGTGGTCAGCTCGGCCTCTTCTTTAATAATCCAACATACTGGTATTTGTTGACTTCATCATAATCCCACAATATTTGAGAAAGTTTGGAGAGCCACAATTCCTGGGTCCCTGCAGTTATAGGATGAGGGCAGCCTTCATTTAAAAAGAAAAATAAGTTTTCTTATCCCCATGCTTCAGAGAAAAGCTGGACACATGGTGAGGAATGCCCCTGAAATGCTCTGAAGCCAGAAGGCAAATTAAAAAAGCATTTTTTCAAAAATAAATAAATCATGATTTTTTTAGTCCACCGTGACTTTTTTGATGCCTGACTCATGATGTTTGAATGCTCAGGCAAGACTGCACCATTCAAATATAAAGGAAAAAAAGCCTGGGAGACGAAGACAGAGCTTTGTGTAGAATGGGAGACTTGGAAGGGAAGCTGTCCAATACATTTAATCATATATGTTAACGTTCAGTTGTGTTTAAAGTCTGCTTTGTAGTTTGGAAATAAACATGTCTTTTCTTGTTGGCTTGGCTATCTACTGATCTTCCCTCTGCTTCTCATGGAGTTTGTGTAACAGCTCCCACAGGGGCTGTCAGAGCTGTTTGAGCCTTGGACTTTCAGTCCTAGAAGCAGGGACTTTGTGACTTGAGTTGGTGGATTAATACCATTAATTATCAGCAGTAGTAAACCTTACACATTAACTAGCTCATATGTCACCTAGTAACTCCTCTGTAATGGGGAGAGTTCCCTTAATAGGGGAGGGGTATTATGCCTTGTGGTTGTGAGACAGGGGTGATAGTAGTTTTAGGATAAGTTAGACAAGGACTTGTATGGGATGTTTGGACAGGGGCAATCCTGCCTCCAGAAGGCGGTTGGACTAGACCTCCAGAGATCCCTTCCAGCCCTTCTTCTCTATAATTTGACCATAAGAGAAGCAGCAGGGCTGGGAGTGCTGGGCTTTCTGCTCTCTCCTCCAGTGCTGTGGCTATGAATGTGGCTGGTTTCATGTATCCTCTATTTTGGTGGGGATTTGTTGAGGAAGGGCACTTGTAACCTCCCTGGTTATGCTACTGTTTTGCTGAAACAGAGCTCTCCCTTTGCTGCAGGGACTGGTGCAGGGCTAGAGGGGGCGGGAGCAGACTGCTGCCAGGAGCAGCAAATCTGCTCCTGCATCTCGGCATGTGTAGACGCCTGCCCAGGGTGGGTTTACCCTGGAGTAAACCCTGCTCTGATTAGGGAAGGGGTTATTTCTTATCAACAACAGTAAAAATGCCTGCAAACTCTCCCACCTGTGAATGGAAAAGGGGAGAAGGGCCTTCTCCCTCTGTCACATGCAGCAGCCATGCTCCAAGCTTCTTATGTCTGACGGAAAGAGAAGCAGGGGAAGATTGCCCTGTCTGAGGGCAGTGGTGCATGGCAAAGGAGGAAGGTTATCCTGTGCTGTCCCTGCATGAGGAGGCAATGGGTGCATCAGGGAAGTTTCCCTTTCTGCCCAAAATGAAGTGTGGGGACGAGGGGATCCAGCTCTGGCTGGGGTGGGATGGCTGCTGATGATGAGGGAGTGCAGTTAGCTTGTCAAGGACCAGGTGGAGTGGTGATATGCATTGGCTGGGAAGCGAGAATTAACCCTCCGCTGTCCCTACCTGGTAGTGCAGTGGGCGTGTGACGGAGGAGTGCTGTGGAGGGTTGTATGTTGGGGCAGGGAGAGTGGCCCTGTGCTGTCACTGGGTGAGGGAGATGGAGAGTGTGGAAGAGGGAAGGCAAGGAGGAGAGTTTGGGATGGGCAGTGCAGGGGGGTTGTGCATGTGGGGTATTTTTGTGTGCGGGAGGGAGCTTGCACAGCCCTGCCTGCACTGCCTGCTTTGTGCATAGAGGCCTGCAGTCCCCGGGGGCTGTCAGTCCAGCAACACTCACAAGCCCTCTGCTTGGAAACAGGCTCAAGGCCATGTCCATTAGTTACATGGCTTGCAACAAGCAGGATGAATTCAAGAGCAGAAACATCCATGCCCAGTTCTTCACCTTGTGAGAAGCAGCCAAGAGCCTTGCTCTGGCCGGCTTTAATCATTGCATAGACACTGCCGAGCTCCCATTGCTCCTAGGCAGGCAGCTCCGTCTGTCAGGGAGGCTGCCAGATCAATAGCTCCAGCCTGAAGAATTTGTTTGGCCTTTAAGCTCAATAAGCAACATTTTCTCCCTGGCCAAGAGGTCTTGTAACCCACTGATAACAAGACACGACGGCTCATTATCGCCAGGCACGAGGGCTCCCAGCCACAGCCCAGTGCGCGCAGCAGGAACGTGCTCCCTTCTCCTGGCAACAGCAGGAACCAGCCAGAGCCGCCTGTCTCACAACAGCCTAATCTCATGTTGAAGCAGAAGTTCCTCCCTCCCAAGTGCCCTTTCAGAGGGTATCGATCCCCTGTCTCAGGGGCTGAACCCTAGATGTGCCTCTCTAGAGCTGGACAGAAAAGCTACAGCCTCCAGTGGTTGCAGGGGAGAGACCAGAAACAGGGAAAATACTTATATAGCAGCTTGACAGGCACCTTCTGCCACCTCCAGGGCCTGGCACAAGGTATGGCTGGGCGCTGCAGGCAATGGTCAGGAGAGAAGACTCTGTGTACAGTACTCTACATTGCCATCTTTGCCTGCCATGGAGGGAGACAATTTGACCCCGTTTCCAGAAGTGATGGTCTGTCCCACCTGATCTTCATTCTCGTGTGTGCAAGCCAGACTGAAATACCCTGCTACACAGACACTGTAAATGGAAGAAAGTTGGCCCAGAGTAGTAGCCTGCAACCTGGAGCCCAACTCAGTTCCGTGTTCTGTCACAGACTTCGTGTGTGGCCTTGAGTAAGTCACTTAGCTTCCCTGCACCTTGACTTCTCATCTCTAAAATGTTGGTGATAGCAACATTTTAGAGATGAGGAATCAAGGTGCAGGGAAGTGCTCCACAGGGTGTTTGCAGTAATGGAAATAAAGGCGGTGAGGTGCTCTGGCACCGTGGGAGTTGTGTAAATACTGTAGTTCAGGGGTTGGCAGCCTTGCAGCTTGGCCCTAAGGCAGGTCATTGTTTGTAACCCAGCTGCCACCTCTTCCCTTGCTGATTCCCTCCCTCTCCCCTGCTGCTGAAGGCCAGATCATGGGCTGGATCAAATCTCTGCAGGCCATAAGTTGCCAACCCCTGCTCTAGTTAGGTCACCAACCAGAACCTGTGTTCTTGAAATTCCCCCTGAGATGATTAGGATCCTGTCCCACACCTGGGGCAGTTCAGCCATTGCCTATTTAGAGCCATATCCTGCCACTTGCCCACCAAGCAGCCTTTCTTCTACCAGAACATTTCTACATTGGCCTTTCCACCTCTGGTCTCCTAACACTGTCCCTAGCCAGAGATTTAATTGCAAGCTTTCTGCTATTTTTGTTAGAGCACAGGGCTTGTGAATTCTTCTGCATTTTACCACATACTAGCAACAGCTTGCTGGCCTACTTATGTGCCAGCTATTATTAAATAATAGCACACTTTCCAGCCCCTAACTCTTCAACAAACAACCAAAGACAGAGTCCACTGCTATAGGGACCACTGAAATTCAGCCACTGCTGGGGTAGATCATGGGGGTAGTTAAACAGTCCACAGCAACACTGTGCAGCAGTGCAAGGCAAAAAGGTAGATTGAATATCCACATCCAGTTGAAACTAGAGAAGAGGAATAGGAAGACAGATGTAATTATGCAACCTGGAATCTAGCCAGGGCTCAAGACTTTAAACCCTCCTCTTGCCAATGTGCTAGGGTATAGATTCATAGATATTAGGGTTGGAAGGGACCTCAGCAGATCACTAAGTCTGACCCCCTGCCCTGGGCAGAAAGGAGTGCTGGGGTGAGATGACCCAAGCCAGGTGCTTGTTCAGTCTCCTCTTAAAGATCCTCAGGGTAGGGGACTGCCACCTCCCTTGGCAGTCCATTCCAGATTCTGACAACCCTTACCGTATAGAAGTTCTTCCTGATGTCTAACCTGAACCTGCTCTCTGCCAGTTTGTGGCTGTTATTTCTAGTTACTCCAAGGGGTGCCCTGGGAAACAGAGCCTCTCCTATCCCACTGTCCCCCCGATGAGTTTGTAGACAGCTACAGGATTACCCCTCAGCCTTCTCTTGCAGAGGTGCATCTACACGTGCAATTAATGCAACTAAATGTACTCTGGCTCAATCTGAGCCTAAGTAAACTAATCCTGATGTCACTGTCTACACATGTATTTAAGCACGGTAATTTATTGCTGAATAGGATAGTACCTGTGTCTGACGGGACTATCCTATGCCAAAGTAAATTAATCTACTGCACACTAATTACAGAGCATGTGTAGACAGTGATGCTTTACTGTGCATTAAATTAATCTAACATGCAGTAAAGTGTATGTGTAAATGCACTCACTAGGCATGTTTATATGTGCAAATGCTGCAGGGTGGGTCTACATTAGAGTAAAACCACCCTGGGCAGGTGTCTACATTTGCAAGGATGTGGGAGCAGATTTGGTGCTCCTGGCAGCAGTCTTCTCCTGCCCACTCTAGCCTTGCACCGGTCCCCTGCAGCAGCCAGGGGAAGCTCTAGGCTCCTCTTGGGCTGGCTGGCAGGGAGCATGGGGCCAGGAGACAGCTGTCTTCTGGGCAGGGCTGAAGGATTGCTCCCTGCCCCCAAGAGCTGTCTGCTGCCGGGGTGCGTTCCAGTGGCAGACCCGGGGCAGGGACAATGTCCTCCTGCCTCAGCAGCAGGGAGCTTCCAGCCTCAGCTCCCGGACTGGGGGCAGGGGGCTTGGAAAGAGCAGCAGGGGAAGGGCAGGTCCCAGCCCCCTGCTCCATTTGGCCAGTGGAGCAGCTAGCAGTGAGCCCCCAGCTGGGCAGGGATTCCCTACCCATCCAGAGGCTCACTGCTAGCTGCCCCATTGGCGGATCAGGGCAGGAGGCTGGGACCTACCCTGCAGCTCTTTCCAAGCCCTATGCCTCAATTGCCTGATTGGAGCATGGGGCTGAGACCTACCCCTGGCCAGGACAGTTCCCAACCAGCCCTGGTCTGAGCAGGGAAGTCTGCATGTGCAGCCTGGAGGTGGCTGGGCACTGCCCAAAACAGAACAGTCTCTAGCCACAATGTCCCCATGCAGGGAGCTTCCAGCCCCCGCTCCACAATTGCAGAGTGAGGACTGGGAGCTCCCTACTGCTGGGGCAGGGATACATTGTCCCTGCCTGGACTCCAATGAGGAAGCCTGTAGAGACCGGCAGCAGGCAGCTCCTGGGGACACAGAGCAATCTCCTGCCCTCTGCTGCCCAACTGACTGACAAATTTTCTCCCGATCAGCTGTCTGCACATGCCGTACCACACAGTAATTACTCCCGAGTAAATTCACTACTTGTACTTACAGGTAGCAAATTACTCACGATTAAAGCAAATTACTGTGCATTAAGTGTCGGCACGTGTAGACGGTGATGCTTATAATAGAGTAATTTGCTGTATCTCAAGTAAAACATCTCATGTAGATGCACCCCATGAGTCTCTACTACTAGCAATACCTCACCATTCCTTAAAGGCCTCTGATCCATGCAGACCTAAGCTGGCAGCATTTAGCATGTGAGAGCTGACAGGCTCCTACCAGCAAGCTGGAATAGTTACACTACTGTCTTGTTTAGTGTAATTAGTGAACTGCAGCGGGGACAGCAGCTTGCACTTTGTCAGTAGGAGTGCAGTATTTTATGATCTTTATATTTTATTTTGCAAAATAAAATGTGGCCATAAGGCTGTCCCAATAAATGATTTGCCGGGCAGTAAAAGAGCAGGGAAATGGCATTTTAATTCCTCAGGTTTATGGGAACGGAGGTGGTCCTCAGGCCCTTTATAAAGTTGGGAGCAGCTTATTGTCCTAAATTAAAAGACCATAGCAACCATACTGGCTGTTAGATATGCTGTGAGACTGCATTGCTCCTCTCTTCCTTCCTCTTTTGCACTATCAATAAGCTCAGCAAGATGGTCGCTGTAGCTTGAAGATGGAGCTTTCTGTCTCTTCCTGCTGTTTTTCTAGGCTGCCAGAGTGACAGCATTTAAACTGTTATGGGTGATCACTGTTTTCAGTCTTTCTAGGCTTTTCACCTCACTGCAGCAGTGAACTGCTCTAAGAAAGAAGTGATCAGATGTGTAGTTCAATGAATAATGCAAGCCCTTCCTGAAGTGACCAGTTGGAAGCAGACACATGAGCAGCCTCTTGGCTCTCCTTCCTAACGCACCAAGCCAAAGAGGGGGAAAGATATCTTTCACGTCCTTAGTGAGCTATGTTATTCAAACAAAGGCTCATGGCACTCTGGCAGTCTGCATGGCGTTTCCTCAAACCTCACGTAACATAGCAAAAAGCCAAAAAGAAATCTGCACAAATGAGTGGTTAGGAAAGCAGAGAAAGAGCCAGGATGCCTGGATTCAGACATTGTGCCATTGGGCCCCTTAACCTTCCAGGGCCCCAGTTTACTAATTGGTTAAATGGCTTTAAGAATAAGTGCCTGCCTCAAGGGCTAAATTGGATCACTGGGATCAGTGGATGAAATATGTAGAAGCAGCACAAAATATTACTTTTAAAAGTCCCAACAAAATGAAGTCACAGAGTATTTAGGTTCCGATTTGAATGTATCTAAGAAGACTCCATGCTAGCTAGGTAGCACATGAAAATCCCCAGTGCCCTTCATGTTATAATCCTTTGACTGATATGAACTAGACACAGGATGAGAAAACTCAGAGCTAATGAGATACCCCATGAAAGGCACATTTTACCAAGCGCTTTGCATTAAGCAGGCCCCACTGTATACCGCTGCCTTTTTCGTGTTCCCTTTGTTGTGGAGAAAGCTGCTGGGGTGTGCATGGCTTGATTATATATTGCACTTGTCATCAGCCAAGCTGTTTTTGCCAGGAAGCTGTTACAAACCACTCTAGGCTTCAAAGCCTTCTGCAGAGCAAGCCTCCATTTTGTGAACCCCAGGGGCAGAGAGAGAGGGCAGGCGCTGAACCGTGACGCAGGGGATCCAGGTTTTACTCACAGCACTGCCATTGGTTTTCTAGGTGGCTTTGGGCAGATCACATCTGTGCTTCAGATGGCTCTAAGATAGTGGTCTCCTTCATCAAATACATTGAAGTAGGCTTACAAACAGCACTACAGAAGAGCTTGGTATTGATAACACACCGGCACTTCCCTTCAACTGTTGGGGCTGTGTAATGGCTGGGCTCCCTGTAAGGGATGAACCCAAAACTCTGGATGGATAAATATACAGTTCTACTGCTTCTGCCAAAGACCAGCTCCATGATAACACATGCAGTAGCAGACTCAGTCTATATGTGTATATCAGGGATTGGCAAACTTTTGCCAGGGCAGAGGGAACCCCTGCTTTTCCGCATGCAAAGGAGACATGCTTCAAGGCATGAAGCCTTGGGGATATCCCTTGTGCAGGGACAAGGGGGGACCGTTACTGTATCCTGTCTGCGGTCATGGTGCTGCCACTTTGGTGGCCCAGCAGCTGCAGCTTCATGGTAGCCACTCCTGCCAGGCTGGACTATAGCAGGATGCCCCATCCTGATGCAGCCACCTCCAAGCCCTGAGCCACATGGCATCTCCTGGAAGCAGAGGCGAAGGGTGGGGCAGTTCTACCTGATGGCAGGCTGACACCCTTGAAAGGATCTTACAGCACCCCAGGACATGGCAGCATCCCCATAGAGAATCACTGGTGTGAGCTTTAGTGGGTGAGAGTCTCCTGCTCAGTTCCTGTGGGTCCTGAGTGCCCTTCCACTGGGGCAGAACTGCCCATGGTAGCAATAGTGCAAACAGGTGTTCAAGTCCCTGAAACTCCATTCATGCAACTGCTTGTGTCACATACTATTATCTTGCCCTTAAGGATGAGTCCCAATGGAGGAGTGAGGAAGAGGAGGACCCACCAGCCCAGGTTTTGTAGTAATTGTTTTTAGCCTAGAGCAGGAGGGAATGCAATTACACTTGACACTTAGGTGAAGTGGAACCTGGCCTCAGATGTCTCTAACTGCAGTTCGCTGTATGACTACCAAGGTAACTAGCTACATTGCCAATCTGCTGGTACAATGCACCTCTGCCCTTCAGAGCTACCCTGGCTAGCTCTAAGTGATCTATCTCATGTACCAGGAAGGGGATAACCTTGTTAGTATAGCACTCTGCCCAAGCTAACTAGCTGAGTTGAGGAGCAAGGTGTATTGACCTGGGCATAGCAGTGCCCTGATGTGGCTGTACTTCTTTCAGGTCCCTTGGGTTTCTCAACACGGCACTGCATTGTGCCATGTAGGCATACCAGAAGGCAGAGCACGTGGAGGTCTCCTCTTTCCTGTACAAGAATATGGCTCCCATGTAAACTGGGATGTGTTTCTTGCTAATGCACCATCAGTGATGGAGCATGGGCTGGGAGTAGAGCCTTTGTGCCTGCATAGGTTTTTTCTCTACAATCTGTGTGATGGAGAGATGTATGGGAGTGTCTTACAAAGGGGAGCGGCATCTCTGATAGGTGTGTGGGTGTGCACACATGCAGTTGCATCTGTGAGTGGGAGGGAGAGTTTATCTGGGTCTCTATAGGTAGGAGGATCTGCATGGGTAATGGCGTGTGTGTGTGTGTGTATATGTGTCCTGATTTTTCAGCAAGCCTGCATGGGAGGAATCTGTGTGTGTACATGCATGATCTAAGTACATATTTATTTGATGTGTGTGTACATGTGCATGTCTTATCTATGAGCTTGGGAGTGAGGCAGAGCTTCTCTGTTGCAGGGGAGGGGAAGGTGTATTCTTCATATACAGTAAGAGAAAAAAGCATGCTCTTCCAGTGCCTCTTGAGGTGTATCATTCTAATCCTGGTGTTTCTGAAGGCTGGCTTCTTTAAGTAGGGTGGTTGATGCACATTATCTTCCACAAACACATTCAGGGGCATCATTAGATTAAAACACATTACAGCATCACCTTCCATCTAAGCTGCCCCCATTCGTTCTATTACGACTTCCTGGGAAATATCCTTGGGTACAAGGAAAGCTATTTCTTACATGTTCCTCGCCCACATTAGGGAGAGTCTGCAATGCTACAGGATAATTAGCATATGCTCACCAGAAAAATTCAGGAAATGCTTGATATGTGCAGCCTGAGAGCACTTCTTAGTACCTGCAAACAAAGACCCCCAGGCAAATAGGGTGTCAGTGTGCACTACCAGCACCCCTTGCCCCTAGTTAGAGTTTTTATACTCCATTCATCCTCTTCTTCCTCCTGCCCCAGTTCTTACACTGAGAAACTTTGTGCTGAGGCTTTGGGCTAAGCAGGCACTGAATCATATAAAGCAGCAGGGCCGTTCCTGAGGAAAGTCCTGTCTTTGATGGCAATAGCCTGGGAATGAGTGTGATACCCTTTCTCTTGGCCTTGTAGAGATCTTTACGGACCCTCTCCCCTGGCCATTTTGATTTGTCTGAAGGGACAGTTTTGCTTCCAAGGGGAGTTTTGAATAAGGCTCCTCTCTGCCCCAGAGCCTTGTAGATGATGATGAGAGAGCCCTCTGGCTCCGGATCCCTGCAGGTGAGATAGCTTACACATCCTTCCATACACCCATTTGCTGTTTGGAGTGGCCGCTGTGGTGAGTGTGTTTCATCTCCTCCCCTCCCCTGCTTAGGGAGTCAAGCATCTTGGGAACCTTCTGATTTCAAGATCCATCACCTGAACTAAGTGCTTTTTACCCAGAGACCTCAGAACACCGGACAAATGGGGGTCAGTTGGTGTTATCTTCGGGAAAAATCAAGGCATGGGGTTGTAATCTGTGATTTATTTCTTCTAATGTCTCACGGGAAGTCAGTGACAGAACCAGAAGCAGGGGCTGGATCTCCTGATGTTCAAGCCAGCCCACACCAGTGTGGGGAGCTGGGAACTCTACAGGATTCCCATTACTCAGGCTTCCCATTATTATCGAGGCAAGACCCTGCAGTTTATTGTTTTCAATTAATTAATTCTGGGGAGTGGAGACAAACTGGTAGCAGAGATGCAGTGTGGATGCTTAAGTGTTGCAGTATAATGACTTCACAAATCTCAATTGCACCTGAGTCCGTAATGCGCATCCACACTCCAAACACCTGGGCAGCACATGGGCATTACCTCTGCTGGATCGCCTGCAGCAGGACACTTGTGCTAGCCAAAGTGTCTGCTTTTAAT